TTGCCAGGTCAAGCTAACATATCGAGTTAGTTTAGGAAGCTTTCTATGCCAAGTACACATACATCCATCCATCCATTTTCTTCCCCTTAATCCATTTCTGGGTCGGGGGGGTGGCAGTCAGAGCTGCACCCAGTCCACTGAGCACCAGCCCCTCACTGATCCTCCTGCAGGTGGTGAGTCCACAGGAGCTGAGATCTTTCAGTGGGGGCTTTGGGCAAAGTAGGGTTAAGTGTCTTGCCCAAGGACACAACGACAGCAGTCATCAGTGGGAGTCGTGAAGTAGGTCTTACGGTGGGTTCGAACCCCCGACCTTCAGGCCCAAAGGCTAATGCTCTACCAACTGAGCTACTGTCGCTTTTACATACAGTCATGTGAAAATGTATGTGTATCAGTTTAGAAGAATTAACTAGCAATATGTAAGATTTTCATGTCATGTCATCATTAAAGGGCCCAAATGTCAAAAGAAAATAAACTGATCGTTTCCAATACTTCTTTAACCAATAACAGTAGTTCAGAGATATTTGGATTTAAAAAATCAGTTTTCCAGCCCCTAAATCTTGTTATTGTTTTCATTTCGATGTCCCGCCCTCCACCGTTTCACCAATCAGAAAGTCCAGGATCTGGGTTGCCAGAACTCACTGCGTGGAGCTAATCTCACTGAAGTACCATGTGACCTCAGTGCTGAAAAAGGTCTCGTTATGATTCTCAAATCATTAACCACAAAAAACAAGGATTTCTGTCACAGCCTTTGTGTAAAAGGTGTTGGTTTTAGATTTATTGTTGACAAAACTCGCTTGTTGACCCAGCTGGATTTGTCTGCATATCTGGCAACTTGAGTCAGGGAGAGTGGGAGAAGTTGCTGTACCAATTTTGGCTACACATGGACCAATGACCAAAGCACGTGTGTAACCAAAACATAGAAAACACTCACTTCATTTAACCCATGTATAATAACTTTAATCACAAACAAAGCCCTTTTTAAACAATATAAACCCATTTATATTTATTTACAGTTTTACTTTGAACAACAGTTGTACATACATTTCATGATACAAATACATTGTAAAGTGAGGACATTACAAGCACCAGAACTTACAAAAATGTCTATTGCTTTTAGAAACTGGCCCCAATATAAATGATGCTTGCGTATAAAATGTCTTTGCTGAAATATGAAATTCACCTTTGCAGACGTAGTTAAATGATCTACAATGTTTATGGGTTTTAGAGCTCCCTTTGTACAGTATTGGGGAGGTACAACACATGAGTATCTGTGTTTCGAATATATTTATTTAGGTGGTAATTGGAATACAGTTACACTCACTGTCTCACCTTCAGACTTTCGTGGGTGTGTATGTTTCTTTTAACACATATTTTCATGTTTTTGTTTCAGTCTCGGGATTTGTGTTTTTACGTATGTTATAAAATGAAAACAACTTATGGATGGCATTTTGATCACGCAATGTTGATAAGAGATAACACAAGAAACAAAAGTATGTGTCAGATTTTCATTTTATAACTAACAAAAAGCTGTTTTAATCCTGTATCACATTGAATTCTTGCGCAATTCAGCGCAAACGTTTTTCAGTTTTTTCAGAATACGGTACTCTTATTTAACCATAGAACGGAATATGTAAGAAAATGCATTTTTAGCGAGTATTATGTATTTTGTATCAAAGCATTCTACCCAACACTGCCCATGTATGAGATGAGAGGTGTTCACATGAATAAAGTGTTGTGGGCTGTTTCAAATGATATCTAAAGATAACTATAAAATAAATCTAATATAATCCCAAACCATAAAACCTGTGGAATAGTTTCTGCTGGTTTAGTTTGGGCATCATTTGAAAACAAGGAGGTGCTTTTCTGTAAAACATCTTTGTAAATTTGTGTTAGTCATATTTTGATGTACATTATGTAAGTGCTTCTTGTTTACTTGTTTGTACAAAGCCTCGGGGCGTTGATGCCACCAGCTTTAGGATTAGGATTAGATCTAGAGTATGTCCTTTGTTGTGGCTGATGCCTCAGGCGTTGACGCCCGGAGGACTTGGGACCACACACTACCACAACAGCTATGACCCAAACACTACTTTCCATCCCCTTGAGCTCGGAAAACAACCTTCTCTCTGTCTACTTTTTGTTTTTGTGTTTCGTCCTCTCCCTCTGTTCTAAAGAGCAGCCGCCCCTGGCCCTTACACCCTGGCTCTAGTTGGAGCGGAGGCTGATGGAAGCTGACATGTTGGTGCCATTGTCCTCACCGCGGAGTTAATGTGACCCCGGGAGCCTGTCCCTGCTTGCCTGGCCTCGTGGCACAGGATGCAAAGCAGAGAGCAGAATGGGCCAGAGAGACCGAGCCCAAAGGCCAAAGGGAAGCGCAGGGAACAGAGGAACAGATGGGCAGTGCTTGTGGAGGTAAAGCAGCATGGTAAAAGACAGGTCTGACCATCTAGACCTGCTCAAATTTAGTTTGTTAAGGAATTCACAACAAAAAATGATTAAGCCGTGCTTGATTTGTGCAAAATGTATCTGTAATTCCCTGTTATAGAACTGAGGGCGACAGTGGCTCAGTTGGTAGAGCATTGACCCTTGGGCCTGAAGATCGTGGGTTCAAACCCACCACAGGACCTACTTCACAACTTCCACTGATATCTGATGTGGTTTTGTCCTTGGGCAAGACAATAAACCCCCCTACATTTTTCAATTATTTTATTTTTTTTTCTATTTCTTTTTTAAAATTATTATCAATACTTAATATATGGCTACATTACGCATCTCCATTCCATTTATCATGAAATAAAGTGTATCTTTTCACTTGACATTTTTATTTTATTTATGCCATAAATTGGCATATGGTATATTTCTGACCAATATATCGATAATCGTTATCGTGAGCTTTGTATCGTGTATCGTATCGTATCGTGAGGTACCCTTAGGTTCCCACCCCTACCTGAAACCCCCGCTGAAAGATCAAGGCTCCTGTGGACTCTTCTCCTGCAGGAGGATCAGTGAGGGGCTGGTGCTGTGTGTACTGGGTGCAGCTCTGACTGCCACCCCCCCCCCGACCCATAAATGGATTAAGGGAAAGAAAATGGATGGATGGTATCTGTAATTAGCATTTTTTGGTTATTCTTTAAAAGCGAGTATAAAAAAAGAAGCTCCTCCAAAGTGTCATGAAACTCAGGGACAGAGGAATAATCCTCCCTCTAATGCATATTTGAAACTCCACTTACTGCACAGTGAATATATGACAAATAAATATAATAAAAATCTGAAAAGTCCACACTGTGGGACGAATAAAGGATCTGTAGTGGAAGGCGTTATTGTGCGACAGATTTACATTTACTTTGCTCATTAAACGACACGTTGTTGGGGCAGGTTCCACGTTCATCCCCTTATTCAACTGCATGAGCACTTTGTACGAGTATGTGCTATGTACTTTCTTTACCGCACCACACATTCTGCACCAGCACTTTTACCATAATCTTGTGTTTTAAATGTGCAGGTGAGTGTCAGTAAAGATGAGCCTTGAACAACGGAAATCAAAACACAAAATAAGTGCCAAATCTTTCTATAACATGGTCATATATGGTCACATGCACATAGCACACTGCTTACTGCATGTGATTGAGACAGCTCCCCCTACTGGCCATGTGCCTCTACAGGAGATTTCAAAAAGACTGGAGGACAAGACTGTTTTGTCCACAAGCTCAAATGTTTGCCTTCAATAAAGTGAAATAAGTCTTGACGATAACAAATACGTTGAGAATAAAATGCATTCATGTTTTCTTATGTCTTCTGTTTTGATTTATATTTGGATATAATACAATTTAATTACTTCACAATTAATTTCCAGCAATGGCGAATTCCCAAAATTCCCCAGCTCAACTTTCCACAGAAATTTCAATAGAAAACTTTACGAACATCCCCCCTGTTCTGATTAGACTCTTTTTTTTTCTACAGTGAAGAAGTTATAAATAAAAAATCTACAATACCACAATAATACACAGCACACACTGGCCCTGAGTGTCTTTGGTCTGCCCTGGTTCTCTAACACCTCCTCAAGGAGCTGTCCTGATCCAGTTGTAGGGAGTATTTGGTCGGATTTTAAAAGTTTTGATTTCACTAACTTCATTACAAAACACACAATACAAATATTTCAAAGTGGCATGTGTACAATTTACAAGTGTAACAAAAATACTGCTTTTTCCAGTCTTGACTCTAATCAGCCCTTTCTGCCTTCGTGACCAAGACCCTGCAGAGTTACGCCCTCTCTTCTGTCTCCGCGGTTCGACAAACTAAGAAACGCAAGACCCTACCGCTGATACATGTTTCTGATCATATACTGTCGCTGTCATGTGTATTCTTGGGTTTCATATGACGTCAGGGCAGTGGTGCGAATAACAAACGTTGGACAGGACGTATCCTGGCGCTGCAGTCTGCCGGGTTTATACACGGAGATATAGTAGAAGTAACGCTTGTACAAACTTGCACAAATAGAGAGAAAACAAGTAACCAGAGTTTGTTCATGTTCCAACTGTGGTCTCATATTAAAGGAGGACACTTGGAAAAAATCACTGGAATGAGGCGGGCGAGGTGGATCAAGGCTTTCCCAGATAAGCGCCCCCTCAGCAGGCCACCCCAATGAAACGCAGCGATTTCTACTATTTTTTTTTCTTTCCCAAAAGCGCCCGAAATCTAGACTCTTTTGAGAAATATTTTTTAGTACATCCCTTAGAATTGAGTGTCCCCGATTAAGACTGTTACAACAACCAGTACACCGCACAGGAGAAGAGCCATCTTGACTGTTTTCAATGGGAGCAAAACTGACTTGTCTCACCTCTGCTCGTTCGCCCCCTACAGGCCAGGTTCATGAAACCCAAGAATTATGTCGACACAACCACACATTCACATAAATAAACCATCTATAATGCTTTGGAGGTTTGCACCAAAAGTTCACAGCTACTAATTCATACAGTATATTTCTAAAGAGTATCAAATCAACTTTACACAGTCACCTCTGTAGCGCTGTGCGTGGAAAAGCTCTTGGAGCCTGGAGATAGAGCATCTGTGGAGGGTGGCCCTGGCCTGTGTGCGGCCCCTGCCCCGTGTTCCCGTAGGCGGCCCCGTAGGGCGGCTTGAACAGGTCCGGCACGTTCTCCGAGCTCGGCTTTCTGCGGGCGGAGAAGGTGGTTGTGCCTGCGGTTGGGGTTGTGCATGTCGGGCCGCTCATCGTGCCCGCGGAGCCGAGGTCTGTCTCTGGACGTGGCGTGCGCTGGGATCAATCCCAGGATGTGAAGGCCGAGCTGGAGAGCAGGGGGTGGTGTGGTGGTCTTGGACAGGCGGGAGTGCTCCGGGTGGCTGGTGGAGGGGATGGAGATGGACACAGGGTGGGGGTGGTTGTTTGTGGGGCCGCTGAGGGCAGAGACAGAGGCTGGTGGAGGTAGGACTTCTCTTTGGACTGGGAGGTGGGAGGGGCCACCGCTGGTACTGGGAGAAGTCCATCAGAGGGTAGCTCTTGTAGTAATTTGTGGGAGGCACTGTCCGCTGCAAAAAGATTAAAAAAAAACTCTTTGTCTTTTTGTACACACCGATTGAAAAGTCAAGAATCACGATATTATTGTTCAAATTAGAAAGTGTGTAAAACCAAAGGAGGTAAATTAAACACATTTGAAGATGTTGAAAGAGGGGATGGGAATCAGTGTCGTTTCCGATCAATCATGACTTTTAATAATTTCATCGTTTTTTTTGGACACTCAAAGACGCTTCACATGTCATTATTCTTTCACTCCATACACAGATGGTGATAAACTACTACTGTATTTACAGCTGCCCTGGGGCACACTGACAGAAGCGAGGTCAACCAGTCTGTGCCATCGGCCCCTCCCACCACCACCAACCATCACTTCACACACACAACCAGACTCATTCTAATTGGGGTGAAGTGTCTTGCCTAAGGACACAACGGCAGTTTGGCACTTTACAGCCGCAGACCGCCCTAAATAAAAAAAAGGGGGGGGGGGGGGGGAACATACGCCCACTGTGGCACCTATGGTGTTCCAAGGACACAACGACAGCAGTGCATCAGTGGGAGTCGTTGGAGAAGGTCCCGTGGTGGGCGTCGAACCCACGACCTTCAGCACCCAAAGTCCAATGCTCTACCAACTGAGCCTACTGCTTCCCTTTGTCATTATTTTTCTTGTTAGCTACGGATCCTGTGTTATTCTTGACCTTCTCCCCTAGTCACTTCCACAGGCAAAGGCAACACACACACACACACACACACACACACACACACACAAGAACATACCACCAAGAATAAACACATACACACACACAAGAATATGTTAAACGCAGAGCAACTTATTAAAGTGTATTTGAAGAAGATCAAAGTAGAACGCACAGTTGTGTATTCACTTTGTTTGTTTCACGATAAAATGTTTTTGTTGCTCATTAAGTAGCACAGATAGTGGTGCCTATCTCAATAAACATACTCCGTTTGTAGCCTATCTTCACTACACTGCATGAATTTTCAAACTCAAGTTATTGTCTGGGAACGACCGGAGAGAGCAGCTTAGGTCGTTCGCGTGGTTGACCTCCAAATTTTGTGCGGGCGTCACTCTATCCACTTGTTGTGGCTAATAACTTAGCAATCTCAGGGTTTGGTGTCAATTTCCAGTGGTAGTTAACTTTTGGGACCGGTGCCTCCTTGTGCATGCCGGTGAAACATGGACGTGTACCACCCGTAGGCCGCTTGGTGTTGAGAGCAGATTTAAATTGAGTCTGCACATTAGGTCTCGGCCTAGTAGATTAACCGGGCACAATGGGGAATATAGAAAAGAATGTTTAAGCTGGTTGCCCTGAGAATCAAAACACGTCTCTCCCGACGCTGCTAATTAGAATGTGAAGCGGCCACTCATTTTAGGGGAGACAGAAAGGCTGTCACTTTTAGCACAGAATTTGTTGCCCCGGAGTCATCCAGAATTTTAACTTGTACACCACAGATTGTTAGCGTATATTACGGGCATGAATTATCTCTAAAAAGTGCCAATTGCAATTTGTTGTTGTTCAAACTTACATGAGCGGTCGCTTTGGTGACGAATGTGAACCCGGTTTGGTCAGTCGCTCGTGTTTCCTCCACGCCGCCTCTGCGTCCCTCTGGCCCCGTGTGGGCCTCTGCCTTTAACGCCTCCTCCGGTGACAGTCCTTCGACCCATGTCGAGCACACAGTCTTTTCCGCCGGGCTGTGGAAGTTTTCTCAAAGTCCGCAGGAGGCCCAGGTAGCCCAAAGCGTTAGCCTGTGGTCCATGAGGGTTGGTGAATAACCAAACGTGCCGGTACTTTTGGCTTCTTCTGTTTGCGGTGCGGGGGGCAACTTTCAACGAGGTTTCAGCGGGTGCGTTTTGTGTATCACGCTGTCGCCTCCGTGGAGAACAGTCACGGGATTTGGAGCAGTTTGTCTCTGTGCTCCAAAGCAGTTGTCGGTGTCTCACATATCTGCTTCCCCCGCTTCTTCTTCTGCGGTTTCCTGAGCGTGTATCTGCTTCCGCCACGTCTTCTTCTGCTCCCCGGTTTGGGCCCACTTCTCGCGGGTCTCAGCTGGTGCGAGCGCCGCCTGTGGTTGGGGCGTGGGGCTGGTGCTTTGAGGCAGAGGACAGAGCGCGGAGGGAAAGCGCCGACAGACCTGGACAGGGAGAGGAAAAGGGACAACAGTAGTCTGCTCATTTTTTTTTTAAAAAACCCAACGCCTTGTTTGGGTGCACACTTATTGTTAGTAGGGGAAAAAGGGGCGGTAGGGTGGGGGTGTGGGGGTGTGTGGGATGTGTGTGTGTGTGTGTGTGTGTCCGCCTGTGTGTTCTCCGCTTCGGTGAAAAGCGGAGGAGCTATTGTTTTTACATATTTCTTTCTCTAACGTCTTTTGCCGTGAAAAAGCCAGATGGCCTGCACCATAGGCAAGCACTCCATAGCTTGCATCTTCTAGATTGATTTTTCCCCATTTTCTCTTACGAACAATGGGCCTAACCCCGCTTAGTCTCTTCCCTGCTCCTACCCACTTTGGGGCGCTCCGTTCCCCCCCCCGCTGGTTCAACCAGCGAGCGCGCGTTCTTGAAACGAAGCGGTTCTGGCTGAAGACACTTGGAGAAATTATCAGGGTCGCTTACAGAGCGATTACTAACGCGCAGCCGCTAGCTTCAATCTAGAACAAAATACCCCAAAAAAATCCCGCACACAGACTATGCTGTGGCAATGAATGAAATACCCCAAAAATACATAAATAAACAAATCCCCGTGTACACTTAAGTGCTCGTTACGCAGATGAAAAGACAAAACTCACCAAGTTAGGTTCTTTTTGGTCTTGTGTGGCCAAAGAATCCTTCCATATGCGGACGAGCGCGCCCTCCTTTGTCTCCAAATAGAGCAGAGGCTGGTGTTGTTTCCAGGTCGGCCAAACGCGGCCGCTCGTCCCCGCCGAAAGGATCCATGCCAAGACATGTCAGCAACGCCAAATTGTTGTAGAATTACATACCCCAAAGCAAGGAGAAAGCCCAAAAGTATTTGTCTTAAATCAGGAGCGTAAGTTTATTGTAACACACGTGCGGAGAGCTAGCATATCCAAAAGGCAGCATACCCAGCTCTGGCTCGCAGAGCTCAGGCTTCCTGTTTACATAGACATCACATGAAAGACAGTCACGCCCACAACAGATGGGAGGGGGCCACCGGTGAAGGAGGCGCATAGGGAGCGCAGGCGCCATGCCCCTGTGGTGAGGCAATCAGACACAGGGCATGGAGGTGCGAACAGACAGACAATGGTAGAAATGCAAGCATACAGATGCGAGATGCGAAAGACACAAGGGTGTGACAGACAGCAGGGACCTTCACAAAGCTCAGCATGGCGTCAGAAGGTCGTCTCTGCATTGAAAAGGCCTTTTACGTCCGTGTATTTGCTGCGGCTGGTTTTAATGTGATTACTCTAAAAACTGTCATTACACAGCCGCCCCACTGTGGCACCTGCTGTTCCCAGAGGTCTCCCATCACAGCTCTAACCAGACCCTGCCCTGCTTAGCTTCAGAGGTCTGACAGGATCTGGCCTCCACCTTCAGGTACGGCCACACACTTTTTAAAAATCCATATGAAAAGTAGAAAACTCGGGGGCCGTAGTTTATCGTGACATTAGCTTTTTATTTATATGCAAAAATACAAAAGAAAATACAGCAATATTTATCATTTCCACTTGAACAGCAACGGACTGACCTCAGCCACGGTCACACACGGTCCAGAAGTAACACGAAAACAAAAATACAGGGGTCACTTGTCTGATGTGAGGTCCTTGGCTGGAGCTGATGAGGTCCAGAGTCTAGTGTGAGGTCCTTGGCTGGAGCTGATGAGGTCCTTGGCTGGAGCTGATGAGGTCCAGGGTCTGATGTGAGGTCCTTGGCTGGAGCTGATGAGGTCCAGGGTCTGATGTGAGAGAGAGATGGTCCAGATGGCTTCTTACTTTTCCCTCGCTGCCGTTTCATTCACGACGACTTAAGGCAAAATCTTCCACAGAATCACGGAACACAGACTTTTAAAAGACAGACGCGTAAAAGCTGCATCTCTGGAATCTCTCTTCGGGCGCAACGAACGAGGCCTGTCGCCATGGTTACCGTAACACTCCTCCACAAAAATAAAATAAAATTGGGCCTTATTACTTGGGTTGTATTTTTGGAGTCCTGTTTACAGTTTTTAATATTTTTTTTGTTGGAGCAGAACTTTTCTCCCACTTTTTTATTGATTCAGGACATTTATAGACGTTTTGACTTTGACAAAGAAAATGGGCCTTAATATTTGAGTTATATATTGTGTATTGAGTATATAATGTTTATAATTCTATTTTCACACAAGTTTGACAAAAATAAATGACTATTCTCCTGCGTCATTTCTTCAATAACAGATAAAGAAATAATAATTTGGAAAAACAGATGAAGTGCCATTAGAATTGTTTTTTTGAAAGGCTATAAATATATCCTCTTTATCAAATAGTTATTTGAAAAAACAGATATATTTTAGTGCCATAGTTTCACCCAGTCCTGGGTCTGCAGCCTCGGTCCTGGGTCTGCAGCCTCGGTCCTGGGTCTACAGCCTCAGTCCTGGGTCTACAGCCTCAGTCCTGGGTCTACAGCCTCAGTCCTGGGTCTGCAGCCTCAGTCCTGGGTCTGCAGCCTCAGTCCTGGGTCTGCAGCCTCAGTCCTGGGTCTGCGGCCTCAGTCCTGGGTCTGCGGCCTCAGTCCTGGGTCTACAGCCTCAGTCCTGGGTCTACAGCCTCAGTCCTGGGTCTACAGCCTCAGTCCTGGGTCTACAGCCTCAGCCCTGGGTCTACAGCCTCAGTCCTGGGTCTACAGCCTCAGCCCTGGGTCTACAGCCTTACGAGTTATGGCGACAGGCCTTTGACAAAGCCCAACCGTGACCTTTTCCACAAATACATTTCTGTAACATAGGCACGTCTCCTCCTCGTCCACAAACACGCCGTAAAAACCCACAAATCTAAAACACAAACATTTACAAACTCTTGCTTTTGCGCACGGCAGATATGACAGACAGGTGGGTCACTGAATTGTGCATTTGGCTTCGATTTCACCGACTGTGACATCTTTGTAAATAAATATACATCACTCCAATGAAACAGAACAGAACTCTCCCCAACTCTTTTTTAAAACAAAAAAATTACAATTAACTGGAGCGAAAATAGAGCCATGTGTTGCATTGTTAGTTGCACTGGGGTCGGATTTTGGCCGCGGTGACTTTGGTGAGACGGCGGTGACTTTGGGCTGCACTGTCTCTTTAAAACTGGAGAGTACGAGAAGAACAAAGTAGTTCATGTGTTGATAAGAACAAAACACAAAATGACTTTCAATTTTCTCAAGTCTGTGTCGAAATGTTGTGGCTTGATTCTCCCTTTGAGAGAGAGAGCAGAGTGAGCAGAGAGAGAGAGCAGAGAGAGAGAGAGAGCAGAGTGAGCAGAGAGAGCAGAGAGAGACCAGAGACACCAAAGAGAGAGACCAGAGAGAGATTTTATCAAGACGACATTTTGTGGTTTGATTCTCCCTTTGAGAGCCGAGTCCAGCAGGAGGGTTGTAAACGAGACTCAGAAGTGTGAGGGACTTCCTCTGGTCAGAAAGCCTCCTCTGTCCCACCTCAGCGAGAGAGAGGCCAGAGAGAGAGGCCAGAGAGAGCCACAGCTGTCCCAGAGACCAGAGAGAGAGACCAGAGAGAGAGACCAGAGAAAAACCAGAGAGAGAGAGACCAGAGAGAGAGAGGCCAGAGGGAGACCAGAGCGAGCCTCAGCTGTCCCGCCTCCAGGTGTGTCGCGCCTCCACCTCGTCAGACACCACCAGCAGCAGTTCACAGTTCTTTCCTCGCAGCTGCTGACGGAAGAACTTCCTGTAGAAGTCAAAGACACGAGAAAGATGAGAAATGAGAAAAAATGAAAACAAACATCTCCACACCCTTTACCAGCATCAGTCACACAAGAACAACACAAAACACACACACACACACAGGACACACAGGAAGTGCTTTACTAAAATGTCTGGACACCCTGGTCTAAAACATGGGTGTCACAGTCAAGGCCCAGGAGCCAAATCCGGCCCGTGAATGAATTATCTTGGCCCCGGGATAATATCGGATTAGTGTTAGAACCGGCCGCACAGAGCCATCAGAATATATTTGAATTCTTTTCCAAATATTTATATCTCTATTTAGGATTTATATCAGGACACCTTTGGCTCGAGCCACTAAACCACTACAACATTAATCTATCTATCTGTCTCTCTCTATCTAAAAAGGTAAGACAAGCTGTTTTTTGCAGATTAAAGCGAAGAGCCTAATGTTTATATTGTTGAATATTCTGTGGTTCTTCAAAGTTAGGTCTAATCCCCTGAAAACACTGTAGAATGCACTTCCCTGATCTGAAAAAGGTCTGGTAGTCCATAAGTCCATAATGATGACAATTTCACCATTAAACATAAATGACTTAATGGTAAAAAGAATCATTTGCAGAGACCAAATGTACCATAAGTAAAGTCTCTTTTTGATGTGGGACTTTTATACATGTATACAAAAATAGGGAATATAAAAATTGAGGGGTGATATGTTCCGACATCAGCACGGCTCATGGCAAAGTGAGAGACAGACAAACAACTGATTAAATAATTCCCTGTGTTTGCTGCTGGATTTGGTGTGTATCTGGCAACCCGAGTCAGGGAGAGAGGGAGAGGACTACAGAATATGGACTGACTGCAGAACCACAGATTATTACATACTGCTCCTTTAAAAAACGTGTGTTTTCTCTGAAGTTTGTTTTTTACCTGTGAGTCTGATGAAACATGTTTTACTTGGATTGACAAAGCCACAAAAATATTGGAATTTTAATTTAATGCTTAAATAAAACACGATCTGCTGAAAACAGGTTTTATGCATCATTTTAATATGTTTTGGATTTGTTTTTTTTTATCTCTGGTGTATTGGACTTTGACAGCTCTGGTCTAAAACAAACCAAATGTGTTATAATTCAGAGACAGTAATATAGAGTAAGAGTAACACAATACCATGAAGTAACAGTAACAAGTAATGTATAAAGTATTAGGTTTTTGAAGTAACTTCCCAACGCTGGTTAAAATACGGTTTGACATTTGGGTTAAAAAGTTCAGATTTGACTCATCGTTTTCCTCAAGTTGAAAACGTCTCTTGCTTTTTGTCTTGTGACTTTATGGCAACAGTGACTTTCTATTCCCCTCTGGTCCATAAAGGCCTGACGTGTGCGGAGAGAGAGACCACAGAGAGAGACCAGAGATAGACCAGAGAGAGACCAGAGAGAGAGACCACAGAGAGAGACCACAGAGAGAGACCAGAGAGAGACCAGAGAGAGAGACCAGAGAGAGAGACCACAGAGAGAGACCAAAGAGAGACCAAAGAGAGAGAGACCAAAGACAGAGACCAAAGACAGAGACCAAAGACAGAGACCAAAGACAGAGACCAAAGACAGAGACCAAAGACAGAGACCAAAGACAGAGACCAAAGACAGAGACCAAAGACAGAGACCAAAGACAGAGACCCCAAAGAGAGAGTCCAGCTGTTTCCATCTTGTTTTGTTTAGCACTGTGTACGAAGTGTGCTCTACAAATAACCTTGTCCATTCCATGATTCTAAAGTCAGCACAGAAACCAGCCTGACCTGAGCTCCTCGGGGCGGCCGATGCTCTGGGGGGTCCGCAGCTTTGAGTCCAGGTTGTAGTAGGTCCCAGACACCTCCCGGACCCCGATCCAGTGCTGGCGTTTGAGAGGCAGACGGAACGGCCCCCAGCGCAGGTTTGACGGGACGTTGAGGATGAAGCCGGTCACGTTGGACAGCTCTATACTGCCCACGTCCCTGAGACACAACACATGACCTTTACCTCCGTTTGTCCTCGTCCAAACCATTCAGAGGGACCCTCAAAGTAACTGCCCCCCCAGGACTCCCCCCACTGATAACTGTTGTCAGGATTCCCAATTGCAAAAGAGTTCAAAAGAATAGGACATGTTGGTGAAAGAAGGCAAAATATTTTTAAATAACATTTTTAAATAAGAGACAGAAACCACCGCAGTCTCACCGTCTCTTGTCCCACCACACGGCCTCGAAGCCTCGGGTCTGCAGTGCCGCCATGATGACGTTCACGTCATAGTTCCCGTTTCCCAGCATGCTCTTCTTATGTGGCGTCAGCAGAGTGCTTGGTGAGAGCCTTCAATGTAAAGTAAAGTTAGTATGTAAAGAAACGTGTGAGCGCCTGTATCCACAGGTGCTGTATCCACAGGTGCTGCAGTGTGAGGTACCTCTGGTAGATGTCCTGCAGCGCCTCTCGGCTGAAGGCGGCGCCGTCCTGGAAGACGTTGTTGAGAGCGTGTAGAGCACACAGCTCTCGCCGCTGCTTCTCGTGGTAGATGACCGGAGGGCTCTGTGAGGGCACTGCTGCTGCTGCTGCTGCTGCTGCTGGGGGCGGAGAGGAGCAGGAGGAGGACATGTCTTGTCGATGACAGTCTCTGGGATCTCCGCTCCTTCTCTCCTCAGCCCCCATCCCCTCTCCCCCAGCCCCAGGCCCTTTCTGCTTGCTGACCTTCCAGGGCATACAGCCCAGCTCCTGGAGGCCTCCGCGGGCCTTCCCCTTCCACTCCCCGGCTGGGTACGGAGCACTGCCCATGCCTCCTCCAGCCCCACTGCTACCTGTACCTTCAGGATGCTACATGGGCGTCATGGCGATCACTGCCATGGCAACCCTCAGCCTCCGCTGGAGAGGGTCTTCAGAGCGGTCGTGGGGACGGCAGATGTGGTGATGCAGGTCTTTAGTTCAAACCACACCAGCTTTTCCAAATAAACACAGTGAGAAAGACTGAAGCAACCATGTCCTCCAACGTTTCCAAAGATCTTCTTTCAACACCTCAGCCACAGATCAACTGTCGCAACGTCCTGTTTGTCTCCAGGTTCTTCTGTAGTCGCACTGTTGTACTGTTGTAATGTTGTACTGCTGGAACATGAAAACAGGACTGTCATTACACAAACAGAGCAAACATGTGCCTACAGTAGATCCACACACACAGTACAGTCTTTGTCAGACTCTACAGGCTCAAAACACCTCAGAGGGACATGGACTCAGACATAGCAACACAACTCTGATGTGTGTGTCTGTGTGTGTCAGTGAGAAACCTGTAGCGTGTGTCTGCCTCTCTGTTGTGGTGAGAGCATTAGCAGACCTTCCACAAACACACTGCGGACGTGTGGCCCCAGAGCCCCTCGCTGCAGGAGACACTCACCGGCCGCGGTCCTCCAGAGTCTTCCCGGAGCACACTCGGGGGATCCTGGGGGAGCCCTGTCCGGACGCTTCTGTCCACTCCTTTGTCTTGAGCACTTTTTTCCTGGTGTTTCTCTTTCCTTCAGCCTCTGAGTGTAGCCGCGCATGCGCACTGGCTCCTCCTGTCATGTGTGCGTCAGAGCAGCGGCCCCTCCCATACAGCGAAACTACATTCATACTAATGATTAATAACTATATATTATAATGCACATAAGTACCAAGAAATAAAACCTCATCTATGTTACTGTTTTTGGGAATGTATTTAATTTTTTTATATTTACCTATTCATTATCTTAGCTCTTTTGAGTTATCTAGAAACAGCAGCAAGTCCTAAGCAGCTTTGAGACATTGTTGTTTTGTGTTTTACGTTTTAATTTCGAAATCACAAATGGATTAAGGGGAAGAAAATGGATGGATGGATGTCCCTCTTATTATTATTCAAAGACATTACAAACATGGAGGAAAATAAACTCTGTCACATTTATTATGGTCTGTACATGATCTAAAACAAACACTGAGGAGGGAAGTGCAACAACATGATCCTTGAAAATTCAGGATTTTATCACAGACATCATTATTATTAACAGACGACTCTCACACAAAGGTAAGCTCCAGAACATTCTCATTTACATTATACAATAAATGAGAGCCTCCAGCCTTTTTCACCTGGAGAGCTTCTTTCTCAGAACTGAAGTGAGTGACTCTGCCTGGGGAAAAATGGTCTATTCAACAACAAGAGCTACAGCCTCAGATAGGGCCACGTTACTATAAAAGTCATTCTTAATCATTAATTACAGCTCTTGTATGTATTTACAATAGTTGTGTGTATATGAATCATACATTTTGGAATATTCAAAACATCCATCCATTTTCTTCCGCTTTATCCGTTGCCGGGTCGCGGGGGCAGCAGTCTAAGCAGAGACGCCCAGACTTCCCTATCCACACACACTTCCTCCAGCACAAGAGTCATACAAAATAAAATAATAATAATAATAATGCATCGGTTTTATATAGCGCTTTTCTGGACACTCAAAGACGTGTCATTATTCATTCACTCCATACACGGTGGTGATAAACTACTGCTGTAGCCACAGCTGCCCTGGGGCACACTGACAGAAGCGAGGCAACCAGTATGCGCCATCGGCCCCTCCGACCACCACCAACCATTCACACACACACACCAGACTCATTCTAGGCAATGGGGGTGAAGTGTCTTGCCTAAGGACACAACGGCAGTTTGGCACTTTACAGCCGCAGCCGCCCCACTGTGGCTGGTGTTCCCAGAGGTTAAGTGTCTTGCCAAGGACACAACGATAGTAGTCAGTGGGAGTTGATGGTGAAGGTCTTGAGCGGGGCTTGAACCCACGACCTTCTGGCTCAAAGGCCAACGCTCTACCAACTGAGCTACTGCCGCCCTTAAAATAACATAAACCTCAGTAGTTTCTGTAAGCTCTCAGTCGAACAGGGATTATTCAAAGCCTCAGAAGTAAATTACCAGAGCAAACAAACAGAAAACATGAAAATAAAACATAATTTAATCAAATACTGCAATACTTTATTACTGCATTGTTTTAATTGCGAGCGCATAATATCGCGATACTGAACAGAATCGATTTTTTCCACCACCACATCAAGAGTCTTCAGTCAGTGCAGTGTCTGAGTTTCGCCGCCAGCTCAGTCGCCATGGCGTCCAGCAGCTCCTCTCTGGCTCGCTCCTCTCTCCTCTGCAACTCGTGGATAAAACAGCCCTTCGTCTTCTTCATCTGCAGAACGCGCTTCAGCAAACCGACCCGCGCCGCGTTCACATCGTCCGCCGTGCGTTCCATGCTAACGTTCACGGCCTCCGGTCTGTGTGGACAGAGCAGGGGCCCCCGTCTGTGGCTCCCCGGCTGAGCGTGGAGCAGGTCCTCTATCCTCCGCCGGCTCAGACTGTGCTTATGGGTGACCACAGGAATCATGAAGTCGGTGAGTTCGCTGCCGTAGACGTCGGCGGAGGCCTGGGCGAGGCGGTTCAGGTCTTGGTGCAGGTCTGTGGTGGCGATGGGGGTCTCAACTATGAAGGCGTGAGGACCAGGGCTGCTGAGCTGGAGGCCCCTCAGAGCTTGGCGGGCCCTGCTCCCCTCGTCCAGGGTGAGGCCTGGGAGAGCCGGGGTGTCGACGACGGTGATCTCGCCCGAGCTCAGAGCGATGGTGCGTTTGGAGGTTTGTAATAAGTGTGGATCTGGGGCAGAGTCTGTTGTTGTTGTTGTTGAGGGCACAGGACCCAGCAGGAAGTCAGCCAGGCCGCTCGCTCGCCCGTCCGCCGGTCTGAGGAGCACGATCCGGAGAGCGTGAAGCTCTGACAGGTCGTCGTCAGATGTGCCTGTGGATAGAAGCACAACGGGACAAATGACACGACAATAGAAAGAGAGTAAAGTGGAATTAGGACAGTTTACTGCTGCTGTGACCCATCCTGACCCGTCCTGCTCCACCCTGCAGCTGCACCACTTCAAATAATCATAGATTGTAAATATTAACGGACGTAGTGAAGCCTATTTCCTCCATTGAAATATATGTGCCACAGACATAGGCAGATTCAAAATGGCCGTGGGCAGCCCCTCTCGCAGGAAAATGTGAAAAAAACCGCATTTCCCTTTAGCATTGACAATCTCTGGAATGTAGTGTTGAGCCAAGAGCCGACCTTTGGACCATCCTGTAAAGACATTTTCGAAAGGAAAGATGACGCCATATAAAAGCATTGGGTAATTCTCTTTCCGGGTACACCCCCACTGACCCGGAGTGAGATTGCAAGCTGGTCAGTGCACGTGCTCACGGATCGTGTTGAGCCGGGACCCGTCCACACTGATTATAATAAATGATACAGTACAAGTCAGAGGCTCCGGCCTCTGTCTCCTTCTTCAACAACAGTTAAAGAGTTAGATACAAGTTGAAAGCAGTAAAACAGACCTGTGATGCGTGAGATCCAGCCGAATTTGGAGGAAATCCCTGTTGCAGAAGTAGATTGAGATGTAAGAGCACATTCTCTCAAACAACACACTTTTAAACCAGATTACGGTCTTCACTCACGGACTAGAAAGTGCCATAACTGCGACATCCATTTGTATAGAGTCTTGATGACTGCAGGACAGAGAAGAAGAACAATCTGAGAACTTGACAAAACAAACTGAGGACCAGAACGTGTTTGATTTAATATTAAAGGATCTCATACTTCGGAGAGTTCCAACGAGACGAGTGACCCAGCCCCAGAGAGTGGACAGACCTGGACAAACAAACAGAATGACAAATTGTTATGTTGTTCATTAGATACACAATGTAAGTACATTTTCAGCCAGTGGCAGTTTATGCTTTTCCTGGATGGTGTCTTTGGAATTAAACATACACAATTAAAACATTTACATATAAAAAATAATAGTGGTGATAAACTACTACTGTAGCCACGGCTGCCCTGGGGCACACTGACAGAAGCGAGGCAACCAGTCTGTGCCATCGGCCCCTCCCACCACCACCAACCATTCACACACACACACCAGACTCATTCTAATGTGGGGGAAGTGTCTTGCCGAAGGACATGACCACAGTTTGGCACTTTGCCCCACTGTGGCATCTGGTGTTCCCAGAGGTCTCCCATCACAGTATTAACCAGGCCCTGTCCTGCTTAGATTCAGAGTTCTGATGGGATCTGACTTTCACCTGCAGGTGTGGCCACTAAATATTGTAAATATATTAAAACATTATTTGGTAGTAATTTTGGAAAGTGTGGGTAAAATAAAACATTTCTAGTATAAACAAATATGTACAGTAGGGACATGTGCAAATAAAAGCTTAAAGTAATCCACTGTGTCGGATTAATCTGATATTCTATTGATTTTTAACTTTGATCACTTGAGTAATGTGTTCACTTTAAGATTGTTAACTGCATGTTTGTGTGAAATGCTGATATTTTGCATCTGCAGCTAGATTTTTGTTTTAACCTTTTACATTAAGACAAATATCTTGAGGAAATTATTATTTATCACATTTCAATTGTATTTTTCACCTGTCTTTAGATTTAAATTCATGCTTGGACTGAACCAAAACTGAACTAAAGCTGAAGAAGACTAAGTATCGGGGACAGATAAGAGTTTTGAATTAATTATCAGCAAGCCCTAATAGCACTCATTAAGGTGCAAACATTTACAGTGATTCCCGTTCATTTAAATGGGCGGAGACAATGATGAATAAATAGAGTCTATGGGGAGACAGAATGATCCGAGGGCCACACTTTGTCCCATACCTGTGTTTTACTTCATAGATATTTGTCACCGTGGACCCTCGGTGAGACTTTCTTACCAGTTAAAGAGCAGAAGAGGCGGATCGGCCATCTGATCAGAGCGGGGAGAGCTGCACAAAGAGGTCCACACTGAGCCAAGACTTTTAACAACTGTAACTTACTGTAGGGTGAATGTAACGAGACTGACTTTGGGAGAATCTGTAGAAGACATACCCCACCACAGTGAGAGCCCCCATCTGCAGGTTACCACTGCTCAGCCATCCTGGAGGAGAGAGGAGAGGGGAGAGGAGAGGAAGGGGAGAGAGAGGGGAGAGAGGAGAGAGGTGGGAGAGAGGAGAGAGAGGAGAGGAGAGAGAGAGAGGAGAGGGGGGGAGAGAGGAGAGGAACGGGAGAGGGGAGAGAGAGGGGAGAGAGAGGAGAGGAAGGGGAGAGAGGAGAGAGGAGAGAGGGGAGAGAGGAGAGGAAGGGGAGAGGGGAGAGAGAAGGGAGAAAGGAGGGGAGAGAGGAGAGGAAGGGGAGAGAGAGGGGAGAGAGGAGAGGAACAGGTGAGGGGAGAGAGAGGGGAGAGGGGAGAGAGAGGAGAGGAAGGGGAGAGAAGGAGAGGAATGGGAGAGGGGAGAGAGGAGAGGAAGGGGAGAGAGGAGAGGAAGGGGAGAGGAGAGGGGAGAGAGGAGAGGGAGGGGAGAGAGGAGAGAGGGGTAGGATAGAGGGGAGAGAGGAGAGGAGAGAAAAGCAAGAGGGTAGGAGAAAGGCAAGAAGAGAGAGGGGAGAGGAGAGGGAGGGGAGGAAAGAGAGGGTAGGAGAGAGAAAGGAGACAAGAGGAGAGCGAAGAAGAGAGGAGAGAGAGGGTAAGAGAGGTGAGAGGGTAGCAGAGAGTGGGTAGAAGAGAGAGGAGAGAGGCATGAGATTAGGACATTAGCACCACTAAAGCTGGACAGGGGTGCTACATCTGACCTATGCTGCTGTACTCTCTGGACTATAAGGTGCACCTGAATATAAGCCGCAGGTTCATGTTGTAATGCAGCAGAGAGACAACAGCTTGAAGTGGACACATGACTTAATGACGTGGTGTTCAGTTTTACCGTTAGCTTCCACGGCTAATTCACTTTCATCTGCTTTGACATTAGCTTCTAAAACTTGATGGAGTCAAAAGAATAAGTCCAGAAACTCCACCATTATTAAAAAAAAAAAAAAAACGCATATAAGCCGCATTGCTATATAAGCCGCAGGGATCAAGGAACTAGAAAAAGTGGCATTTTATAATCTGGAAATTACAGTAATGTGAAGACAGTCTAGGGAATGTAAATATTGTAAATACGTGAATGAATAAAATCAGTTAATTAATCAATGTAAACAAACAACAAATAATTACACCGGTATTTTGCATTTAAAGATTGTATTTTTGTGTGATATATAACTTCACATTAAAACCAGCCGCAGCAAATACACGGACGTAAAAGGCCTTTTCAATGCAGAGACGACCTTCTGACGCCATGCTGAGCTTTGTGAAGGTCCCTGCTGTCTGTCACACCCTTGTGTCTTTCGCATCTCGCATCTGTATGCTTGCATTTCTACCATTGTCTGTCTGTTCGCACCTCCATGCCCTGTGTCTGATTGCCTCACCACAGGGGCATGGCGCCTGCGCTCCCTATGCGCCTCCTTCACCGGTGGCCCCCTCCCATCTGTTGTGGGCGTGACTGTCTTTCATGTGATGTCTATGTAAACAGGAAGCCTGAGCTCTGCGAGCCAGAGCTGGGTATGCTGCCTTTTGGATATGCTAGCTCTCCGCACGTGTGTTACAATAAACTTACGCTCCTGATTTAAGACAAATACTTTTGGGCTTTCTCCTTGCTTTGGGGTATGTAATTCTACAACAATTTGGCGTTGCTGACATGTCTTGGCATGGATCCTTTCGGCGGGGACGAGCGGCCGCGTTTGGCCGACCTGGAAACAACACCAGCCTCTGCTCTATTTGGAGACAAAGGAGGGCGCGCTCGTCCGCATATGGAAGGATTCTTTGGCCACACAAGACCAAAAAGAACCTAACTTGGTGAGTTTTGTCTTTTCATCTGCGTAACGAGCACTTAAGTGTACACGGGGATTTGTTTATTTATGTATTTTTGGGGTATTTCATTCATTGCCACAGCATAGTCTGTGTGCGGGATTTTTTTGGGGTATTTTGTTCTAGATTGAAGCTAGCGGCTGCGCGTTAGTAATCGCTCTGTAAGCGACCCTGATAATTTCTCCAAGTGTCTTCAGCCAGAACCGCTTCGTTTCAAGAACGCGCGCTCGCTGGTTGAACCAGCGGGGGGGGGAACGGAGCGCCCCAAAGTGGGTAGGAGCAGGGAAGAGACTAAGCGGGTTAGGCCCATTGTTCGTACGAGAAAATGGGGAAAAATCAATCTAGAAGATGCAAGCTATGGAGTGCTTGCCTATGGTGCAGGTCATCTGGCTTTTTCACGGCAAAAGACGTTAGAGAAAGAAATATGTAAAAACAATAGCTCCTCCGCTTTTCACCGAAGCGGAGAACACACAGGCGGACACACACACACACACACACACATCCCACACACCCCCACACCCCCACCCTACCGCCCCTTTTTCCCCTACTAACAATAAGTGTGCACCCAAACAAGGCGTTGGGTTTTTTAAAAAAAAAATGAGCAGACTACTGTTGTCCCTTTTCCTCTCCCTGTCCAGGTCTGTCGGCGCTTTCCCTCCGCGCTCTGTCCTCTGCCTCAAAGCACCAGCCCCACGCCCCAACCACAGGCGGCGCTCGCACCAGCTGAGACCCCGCGAGAAGTGGGCCCAAACCCGGGAGCAGAAGAAGACGTGGCGGAAGCAGATACACGCTCAGGAAACCGCAGAAGAAGAAGCGGGGGAAGCAGATATGTGAGACACCGACAACTGCTTTGGAGCACAGAGACAAACTGCTCCAAATCCCGTGACTGTTCTCCACGGAGGCGACAGCGTGATACACAAAACGCACCCGCTGAAACCTCGTTGAAAGTTGCCCCCGCACCGCAAACAGAAGAAGCCAAAAGTACCGGCACGTTTGGTTATTCACCAACCCTCATGGACCACAGGCTAACGCTTTGGGCTACCTGGGCCTCCTGCGGACTTTGAGAAACTTCCACAGCCCGGCGGAAAGACTGTGTGCTCGACATGGGTCGAAGGACTGTCACCGGAGGAGGCGTTAAAGGCAGAGGCCCACACGGGGCCAGAGGACGGCAGAGGCGGCGTGGAGGAAACACGAGCGACTGACCAAACCCGGGTTCACATTCGTCACCAAAGCGACCGCTCATGTAAGTTTGAACAACAACAAATTGCAATTGGCACTTTTTAGAGATAATTCATGCCCGTAATATACGCTAACAATCTGTGGTGTACAAGTTAAAATTCTGGATGACTCCGGGGCAACAAATTCTGTGCTAAAAGTGACAGCCTTTCTGTCTCCCCTAAAATGAGTGGCCGCTTCACATTCTAATTAGCAGCGTCGGGAGAGACGTGTTTTGATTCTCAGGGCAACCAGCTTAAACATTCTTTTCTATATTCCCCATTGTGCCCGGTTAATCTACTAGGCCGAGACCTAATGTGCAGACTCAATTTAAATCTGCTCTCAACACCAAGCGGCCTACGGGTGGTACACGTCCATGTTTCACCGGCATGCACAAGGAGGCACCGGTCCCAAAAGTTAACTACCACTGGAAATTGACACCAAACCCTGAGATTGCTAAGTTATTAGCCACAACAAGTGGATAGAGTGACGCCCGCACAAAATTTGGAGGTCAACCACGCGAACGACCTAAGCTGCTCTCTCCGGTCGTTCCCAGACAATAACTTGGAGTTTGAAAATTCATGCAGTGTAGTGAAGATAGGCTACAAACGGAGTATGTTTATTGAGATAGGCACCACTATCTGTGCTACTTAATGAGCAACAAAAACATTTTATCGTGAAACAAAGGTGAAGTATTAAAGTTTGAGACTAATTTACATTTTTAATGAATCCGACCTGGCTTTATTGAAAAAGAAAAAATAAGGAAAATAAACATTTTTAAGGTGACAAGAGCTCATTAGAGATATAGGGGACACAATCTGTGATAAGCCCGAAGTATAGACCACGTGGTAAACACTAAAGTTGGAAATGGATCCTTTTAGGAAAAATCTCTCAAAGCTCTGCATGTTCTGCAGGCTCTGAAAGTTGCAACAATAGAAATAACTCATGAGACAATTGTAATTGGACATGGAAAAATATAACAAAGTTAAAATTACAGGCCTTCTGTGTGTTATATGTTTTGTGTGTGTTATATGTTTGTGTGTGTTATATGTTTTGTGTGTGTTATATGTTTGTGTGTCATGTACACTACGTTGACCTTAACAAACTGGACCAAAATACTAACGTGGGGAATCGGCCTGTGATGTGACTGTGATATGAGTGTGATGTGTGAAATGAGGAGTGAAATGAGGAATGCTGAACGGAGAATGGAATAACAAATGTGTCTGTAATGTTTTAATGTGATCATGGAATAATTATTTTTTTGTCAACAGCATACGGTGTAAGTACTAGAGATTCAAAGATAACGAGCTTTATTGAACAGGTGTAAAAGTGAGAGTACTCTGGGATGAGTACTCGGAGATGAAATACCTCGCTGAAGATATTGGGAGTTCCTCCCTCTGCTGTTTGCCCTGACCGTGATTCGGTCCAACCGCAGGGAGCTGTCGTTGGTTGAAGGACAACTTTGGTTGGTAAACTCACATTTAGGGGAGTATAAAATTAGAAACATACATTTTGTTGTTCTGTATCTGGCTACAGCCTCCGCCCTGATGTCACACACCGTCTGTCAATGCAGTTATGTTTTGCCCAATTGGAAAAAAGATTGACAAGCGAAAGTGGGCATTTTTTGTGTTTTTTGTGTTCTAATATTTCTTTTTCAGATGAGAGATAAACTACCCCTGCTTCAGGGATGACAGTAGTATGGATCATGAGGAAATGAGCCTCTACCTTGGCACCAAAGCCCACAATATGAATTGAGGACGATCCGGGAGAAAAGCAACTGGAGATGAACGGAACAGCAAATCTACACACACACACTAGGTCTCCCTGACCCAACCTGGCCATTCACTCAAGACTGTGGATGAGCGATGTGGGTGCATGGTGTCGGTACTTTTGCAGTCTCACGGAGGGCCACTGAGACCCACTGCTTACTTCTCAGCAAAACTCGATCCCGTGGCAGCA